TATGAGTTCAACAACAATGACAATATAATAGTTCTAATAGACTAACATTGTCATCATGGTGGTTACCTTTTTTTTATATATATACTGTTATAGCTCATCTATTCCAAAGTATATCATGTCATCATTTATAGAAAAAATTTTTTTTTATCATCAGTTATCTCACTTTTATTTCGGACCAAACGATCCATCTAAATGAGAAAAGACAAAGCAAAAAAAAAAAAAAAACCTGATCCAATTTCGATTCCACGTTTGAAATTGAGTTTATGCTGGATTTTTTATTTATATGTGTGTATGCATTGTTGCATCCATTATTTATGGCCATGAAAAAGAAAACAAAATTATATCATATACAACTACTCTCTCTCTTTCTCTATATATTGTTAAGCGGCAAGTTAAAATTCTGGCTTTACAACGACAAATCATTATGATTTGCTTCTCTGCACATCATATCATCATTTTGCATCATCATAATAATACCTCTGTGATGAAAACAGCAGTGTTAAATTTAATGAATTTCATTTGTTTGAGGTTAAACTTAAATATAAAAATTTCTGGAATTCAATTGTTTGTTGCTAGTTTTAACTTGTTAATAGTAATAAATTGTCAGTAGGAATTAATTTCGATTTGTTGTTAAATTGTAATAGGGAAACTGGACCGTTTTCAAATGTTTCAGTGCGTTCTTTTTTTTGATATTGGCCAGTTTATAATCTAGTGTATTTGTCTGATGAATGTGGTGCCGTATATGACCGAATGCCATTGTGATTGTATTAATATGTTGATAGAATCAGACCAGTTACAGAATAAACTAGTCCAGCCCTTTTCAAACTGTGGTCCGCAACCCAGTACCAGTCCGACAGAATTTGAATTTCTCTTGACTGAAAGGCTTTTCCGACAATTGTCCTAATTTGTATTAGTTTTATGCTATTTTAAAAAGTGGTCCGAGGAAAAATTTCACTGCTAATACTGGTCCGCAACCAAAAAAAGTTTGGAAAACGCTAGACTAGTCCATTGTGATGTTTGAATAACTTAATATTCACTCGGCTCAAACTCATAATAATGGTCGTTTGACCAGATGGAACCTCATTTTTACAATCTACAATCAACAACGTATTTATATGCATTGATCATAAAAATATTTTCATACAAAATTCAATTGTTCCATTCATATTTTTTTCAATTCCATTCATAGACGTCAAAATAAAATAAACAAATATGTCATCAGTTTATAAACAAGAAGCATCGAGAACTCGAGAACAATATTTTGAAAATAAAGTGCCCAATGGTCATCATCATCATCATCACCTACAATGATTCAAGTGAATCAATTCTGTTGCATACAAATGAAATGTGATCACATACAATTGTTATATTGGATGGACCATCATTAATGTTGCCAATCTATATTCCATCTATCTATCTTTTCAATTGTTGTATAGTGATGCCAATTTTTCTATTCACTAGTTTAGATCTATTTTCACATAAAATAAGCAAATATACAATTGACCACCACCACCGGTCACATTCAATTGAATCAGAGCGTTAAATATTCCAATTTTCTGATCGTTCAAGTGTTCATAAGTCATTTTGAATGAAAGCTGTAACAGGCTGGCCATTCCATTTCGTTTGAATGTTCATGTGTTTGTGTGTATGTGGGTGTCATTGAATGGACAAACAATTTAGGGGGTGATTCTGATCACAGATTGTGATCAGGCAAGTAGTGTTAATATGTGTGTGTGTGTGCATTGAATTCAATATATTCTTTTTTTTTGTTATCAAAATATTGAGTATCATCATCATTGGAAAATTGAACCATTTTGCATCACATCATTTGTTTGATATTTTTTTTGCAGACAATTTTATTTCATCAATTTTCTTCCCGTTCATTGGTATTTGCCTGAATAAATGAATGAATGAATGAATCGAATTCAGTTCAATGGATCCAAACGATTGATATATTACTATGAGTTTTGATATGAAACAAGTGACCACAACTAATTTTTGTTTCATTTTTTTTCGCTTTCTCTTTCTTGGTTCGTTCACCATTGTCATATCATATCCTTGTAGCTAATTGAATTTTCTTCTCTTCTTTTCATATGATGATATGAATCCAATGGGACGGGGCTATGCATTCAGACACACGTGACTCACGTTTCAAATCAATATGATAATGGAGCCAGACATGTTTTTCTTGGTTACACATTCAGTCAGTTACTTTTAGGCTGCTATTATTTCAAGCACACACTGAAAACATAATGAAAGATAGTCAAATGGAATTGTGCATTGATTTGATTGTCCTGTTTTTTTTCATTCTTCTTCATCACAATGTCTACACTACGAATGTCTAATTTTCTGTTTTCAACACACACACAACCACTTATTTAGTGTGTGTGTGTATCAAAATTCTATGTTATTCGCGCTTGAACAATCTTTTTTGTTGCTTGTATTCACATTTCAGAATTTGGGCGCACACGCACACACCCTCTGTATGAAAATGTATTCTTGAAAATTGACTTCAACAACAGAAATAAAAAAAAATCTTTGAAATCCCTTTTCAATTATATTATACATTTTGGACGCTCATTAGTTTGGGATTTTTTCATTCTATTTCTTTTTTTTTTTTTTTTTTATTTTAGGCACATAGTGTGTGTGTGTGTGTGTGTGGATGATGGATTTGTCATTCTGTCATTCTTCAGTCAAATAGTTAGTCAGTAACGAATAACCTATAGTTGAAAGAATTTTAATTGTTATATAATGAGCATAAAGAATCACAAGAGAAAAAAAAGTCAATTTGTCTTTTTCTATTTTTTTCCACCAATTTTTCAATCTGTTTTATTTCGAATTCATCATGCTATTCACATTTATACATTGCTCTCATTCAATTTGTATGTAGAATTTTTTTTTCTTGAAAAAGAGATATATATCTATATGGCGTTTGTACAAAGCTAATTGATTGTTTTTTATCATCGTTTTACGAACAAAGCAAAAAAAAACTTGACATCAAATATAATAATAATAATGATAATCATAATAAAAAAGACCCAGAACTTCTTGACATATGACAAATATACGCTAGATTTATTTCCTTTTTTTTTGTTCTCTTGATTCTCCATGTGTTTTATATCTCAACGGCTACGGTTTGCCCACGGGGTCGCGTGCGTGCTGTAACAACTATTTTTATTTTTATTTTTTTTTTTTTTTTTTTGAAAAGAAAAGAAAAAAATTTCAAAAAAATTGTTAAGAAAAAAAATTCCGAACCAACCAAATGTGAAGCTAATTAATTTTTTTGCTATAATTGTTTAATTAGAAATTCTGTTCATCATTCCTTACTACGTTTTCATTCTGATCATCATCCATCTTATGAATTTGAAAGGCTAGAATAAAAAAAAAGAAAACGAACAAATTTCCTATAGTCGTTTACGCCTCCTCTTTACTGATTCCATTCTGATTAATGTTCCTACATTTGTTATCGACTCGTTGATTTTGACAGTTTTTTTTAACATTGACTAATTTTTTTTTTCACTTGACTTTTTTTTCGAAATGTTGATCGTTTTCCGGTTGCCATCATAATAATATTATTATAGCCATGTATCTAGGAAAAAAAATTTCAATTTTTTAAATTTAAAGAATCTGCATCACTTCTATATATATTATTTTGCAAATCAATTAATGTTATGTGATCTGAATAATACCTGATTTAATGATTTTTTCCCCAAATATTGTTTGATTCAGATGAATTGAGCAAAATTCTAATATAACAATAATAATAATAATTACAATGGCTAACCAAAATATCAATTGAATCAAACCGAAATGGCCATCAATAGAAAGTCTAGTTCTAGTTCAAAAGTTAATTACAATAAACAAATGTGTGTGTGTGTGTGTGTGTGTCCAAGAATAATGGCCAAGTTGTAGTTAATTAACATTCTGGTTTGTGCTGATTTCAAGTTTAAACGCAACCAACTTTTTTGTTTTGTTTACATGTGCACCACATCAATCAACTATCCTATCGTATATATTGGCCAGACAGGATTTTTTTTCATTTTGAATTCTCATTGAGAATCTTGTCTGTAGGCCATTTATTTAGAATCAACTTTGTTTGCGTTTGCGATTTTACATTGTCCTCTCTCTAGAGGAAACGTAACCGAAACATGTGTTTTGTCAATTTTTTTTAGCAAACTTATCACACACCTACACACACACACATATTGAAGATGTGTAGTTCAATGATATAATTGATTTTTTTACTAAACACAAAATCATTATGTCAATGAAAACATTCTATCAGAATTCTTTTTTATCAGGTTGAATTTTTACACCGATCCGATGATAATAAACTCCAATCAATTTGATAAAGAATAAAAAAAATAAAAATTTAGCTTAAACAAAAAAAAATAAAAGTGATTGATCACTTTTGTACAACTTATGGATAATAAATTTTTGATGTAAAATGAGTTTTTGGTAAAAGTTTTTTCCTATTCACAATGATTATCCATTTGGCCATCATAATTAATGACACTCATAACGTACCACATGTTGGCCAATATACGAAGAAGAAGAAACAAAGCGCCCATTTTTGTTGTTTTGTTTCACGCTTTCATTGATCACATTTAGACGTGATTAACAATTGATTTGTCGTATCAACGATGATTTGATTGATGTGTTTGGTCATCCAAATAGACATCATCAACACAAAGATACCATACAATTATGATCATGATGATTGATCTGTTTACTTTTATTTTTTCTAAGCTATGATCATCCATTTGTTTTATATTTTTTTTCTTTTGCAGAAAAATTTTTCATTCTGAAAATAGAAATCATCGCATTGTAATATCCTTTATAAAATTGACAAATTCGTTTTAGAACAAGAAAATTCGTCTTTAGCCTCAGGCTTGCTGTTGTTCACTTAAGCGATGACAAAACGATTTACTGTCGAATAATTGGCCGAATTTTGTTTCTAACAAAATGAATGTTTTTTTTTTTTTCATTTTTTTTATTAGAATTCTTTGTCTACACATTAATATTGGCTTTAATACATACCACATTATTCTTTACATTACGTTATCAATTGAGAAAAAATCGAATCAATTTCCGTAACAACAACAATGACAATGGCTTATATCGGTTTTATTCTGTATATCGATTCTTTTAATTCCATTTCCTCATTTACCAAATTTATTCATTGGCGCATTCATTGAATTTTTTGATTTTACCCAGTGTTTTACCGGATCTGTATTTATCTAATCTTTGATACATAAATTCTCCATTAATTTATCAGATACACATCCCGATCAACGGAATCGATAAGGAAAAACTAAAATTCTTACCATTGTTGTCAATGCTGTCACCATATCCGTATGATCATCATGATGACACGTCGTCGCCGTCGACTTGTCACTGCTACTATAGCTCATCATCATTCATCTCCAATGTATGACCATCGACAGCGGCATCAAAATTATCCAAAAATCAGACAGTTAACAGTTCATCATTTTCCAGTGCTCATCTGGTTGTCATTCACATTCATTTGGATCATATCAATTCAAATAGCCATATGTTCATTACAAAATAACAATGTCAAACAACGAATATATGGCCAACCTGTATCGTCGGTTAAGAATCATCATTATCAAAATAATAATGATGTAGATGAGCAAATGGGCTATCCTGAATTATACTTATCAGGTATGTATGATCATATTCCAATATTTTTTTTCCTGTTTGCCCATTCCATTATTGTTATTTTATTTTCATTTCCATTTTCATTCATTTTGATGTTTAAAAAAAATTTATCTAATACAACAATAAAAAGAATTGAGTTCGAAATTCAGTTTTTCTTTGTCGCATTGCATTTTCGATTCTCTATAGTTGTCAGCAAAGTATTTCCATTATATTTGGATTCCATTTTGTTGATTCTATTTTTTTTTTCGTTGTCGTATTCATTCGTGATTCCATCTTATATTTTTGTTCAGTTGTTATTATTATTATAATAACAAAGCAAAGAAGCTTAACGATTTTTTTCGCTATTGACTTGATTTCATTGTTATTGTGATTTCTTTCAAATGTAACCAGTCGAATCAATAATATACTATGTAGCCATTATCATTATGCCAATTCAAAATCGGCTAAGGTAGCTATATTTATTTGGAATCAAAATAATTCCATCAAATCAAGCTTTGAAAGCTCTGCAATATTTGTCGCTTGTATTTGTGATTCCTTATAAATAATTGATCTGATGAAATCATATAAATAATCAGAATGAAGTCATTCATTTATACATTTCGATAATAGTGAAAATGCATCAAATATATTTTTGCCAAAAAAAAAATATCAAAATAAAATTCATGTCAATCTATTTATTTTTAGAGAATTGAGTTAATGATTTCAAATGAATTGAATTTTTATTATTTTATTCAGTGCTGCCTCGTTAACCGAATAGTTTAACAGTGACAGTGCTCCTTCATTTTTTCAGGTTTTTAACTATATTGTAACATATGAAAAATGAGCATTTTTCTCTGTTTTATTCAATCCTCTTGTTATTCAACAATCTATTTAAAGAATCGATGTTTTCGATTATTTCAAATCAAAGATGTTACATTCATGTCCAGGATTAACAGAGCGACTACATCTTTTATTCTATTGATGTACTTTTTTTTGTTGGTCTGAAACATTTCAATCTTACCATTTTCTTATGATTAATAATATTATCATGTCAATTTTTTTTTGTAGATACAGCTTTTCGTCGGGCTGAAGAGAACAATGTTATAACAACCAATCTCTGTGATAAAGATGGCTCTATTGGTATACACGCATTAGGCATGCAATCCGAAATAATACCAGATTCATCATTGTCTGCATCGTCAGCATTTGAAATGTTACATGTTGGCCCACAAAATGCTAGGTAAGTGCATAATATCTTGATGGCCTGGAATAAACCATATTGAACAAGTCCATCAATTTTATTCTTTATCTCATTCTATTTATCCTCATATTATTTTTTAAAAAATGAATGCTTCTCATTTACTCTCTAACCGTAATTTTTTTTCTTATCTACATGGAACAAAATCCTATTAGATTGAACAAAGATAAATCTGGTGGTGCCTGGTGTCCATCAAAACAACTCGGTCCGGATACATCAGGTACTGAATGGATCCAAGTAGATCTTGATTCATTACATGTTGTTACTGGGGTAGCAACACAAGGTCGTTTTGGTAAAGGCCTTGGACAAGAATTCACTGAATGGTATAGCCTCTTTTATTCACGGCAAACAATGCCAACTAAATGGATCAAATGGAAAAGTTTAGATGGCCGTACGGTAAGTGTCATTTATGCTTAACAACGAATTCTTTCTTACGTTTAAAATTTCATTAATATCATCAACAGCATTGATGAAATTCACTCTATATATGCATGGATTGAAGCTTAATTACCCTTAGCATTAATAGCTAGGATTATATGGTTAGAATGTGAATTTGTTCGTTCATATACGAATCTTTGAGATGAAATCATCATCGAGTATCCACTTGTATCCATCATATGATTCGGCCATGTTTTCTTGTGTGTATGTTTGTGTGTTGGAATAGATTTCGGTTCTCTTCTCATCTATAAATCTCTTTTTGTGAGAAAAAAAGTTTTGGCCAAATGTAAATATTTGTACAAATTATCAACGAATGATGATGATGACGAGCTGAGCTTAAATAGAAATGCCAGATCATTTTCTACATGAGCCCACTATGTTGTTTTCAAGTTGCCGCAATGGCCATATATTGCTTGATGTGTTGTATATCCGATTTTTTCTATTTATTCAACTAATTAATATCTCTACATATAAACTATGTTTGGATTTTTTTCTTTCCATCTCTCTCCTTTCAAACAGTAATCATCTCTTTTTTCTCGTCCATAGTAATTGTGATCAGAAATCGAATTTAGAAGTTTTAGCTCTTTTTTACTTGATTTCAATTCAATATGAAGTGCAAAACTTTGAGTTTTTTTTTACAATAAATTCTATAATGAAAAATCATGTCATCATTATCAGATCAAGAATGCAAAAATCTGGAAAGAAATTCTTCAGTTTCAACATCATAATGTGGTTGCTTACGTTTCGTGTGTGTGTGTGTGTTTGGAATTTGAAACAAATTGAGTTTGTCCCATCATATTGGCTTCATCATATTTTCTTAAATTATTTGTCTTTTTTTTACCAATATTCCCGTTACTGCAATACATTTTCATTTATCATCAATTTGCATATAAATTGAATTATCATACATAAAGACAAAAACTTCGAAAGACGCGCGAGCCAATTCTTGTAATTTGTTTACACAATGCAAGTTACTTTTGTAGAGTGTAAAGAAAATCATCATCGAATTGTGGTGTGTATGATGAAAAGTGGCCATAAACCACCAATTAAATAGAATCAAATTATCGATTGCATTGATCAAAAGTGAAAGACAAATGAGTTAGAGATATATGGATACTAATTACATAAATAATACAAACGTGACTAAATTCATTTTGGCTATATACATTGAATATATTGTCTAAAATGTAACATATTCATCCCTTCTTTTTTCTTTTTATTCAAAAGAATTTGGAAGGAAATATCGATCCAAACACTGTACGGAAACATCATCTATCAGTGCCAATGGTGGCCGTAAGACATGTACGAATCGTGCCTGTATCCAATCACACTCGAACTGTGTGCCTTCGTTTTGAACTTTTTGGCTGCTCCTATCAGGGTAAGTTGAATATTTTTTTTTTTTTTTGATTTTTGACGACCAATATTCATATGGATAGACTTGGTTTCATCGTTCTACACACACTTTGATTGCTACGATTAATTCTTATTTGTACGTGTTCTGATCTAATCAAATTTTTTTTTCTTGTTTAGGTCCCATATCATACACATTGCCCGCTGCTCATGAAGCTTTAGCTAGAAGAAATCTCAACCAACTTCTTGATCTTTCTTATGATGGTTCAATTTCTTCATCGGGAATTTGGTCTGGAGGCTTAGGACAATTGACCGATGGGATTAAATCATTGTCGGCGGTGAATTTGAAAATGAAAACACGAGAACAAAATTGGCTTTGGGTTGGTTGGCCTAAAATTGCCGACGGAAGTGAAGCATCTTCAGTGACAATGTCGTTTGAATTTGATCAAGTCTATAATTTCACAAGCATAAGCCTTAACTGTCGTAATGATTTCAAACAGAATATAAAAGCCTTTACCAGTGCTTTGCTATGGTTCTCATTGGACTATCAACATTGGAGCCATTCAGCCATTAGTTTTGAATATCAATCCGATGATAATGCGATCGACGAATTCTCCAGAGGTAATTCCTAATTCTACTTTTTTCATTTTGCATATTATAGTTGACATGAAACAAGATTAATGCCCAATTGACACGAATTCTTGTTTCCTTTCCATTTTGCTTCCAAATTTTAAAGGAATTCTCTACATTCAATTTTTTTTGAATGACCAGTTTATGAATTGTACTAAATGGATTATTATTGTTTTTCTGCTCTTCTAATCTTTTCATAGATATAGTAATTCCACTTCAATATCGAATAGGACAATTTGTAAGAATCGAGCTTATCTATACCGATGAATGGCTACAATTAAGTGAAATATCATTCGATTTCAATCCATTGCCATCGAATTTGACATTCGATCAAAAAAGCCAACTGTTTGAATGGACACATTCAGAAGCGTATGCAGCATCGGCCGCTGGTGGTGGTACTGGTAGCGGAACTCGTTATGTTATGATGGCTGGACATGATAATGCCATACAGAATCATTCATCCGATCATCATAATAACCATCATCATATGGGCAAGAATAAATATCCTATTGGCAGTGATAATCAAGAAGGTCAAGCACTTAAATATTCGTTGATTATTGCTTGTCTATGTACTCTAGGTATAAAAATCGCATATTACCCCTCTTCTGCTATATTGATTTCTTTTTCCTTATTATTTCCAGGTCTAGTCATTATTTCTCTATTAACATCATTTGTATTTAAAAAGCTCAATCTTCGTAAAAATAATGTTTTCACGGAAATTTCCGATCCAACTGATCTGGAATCAGAAAATGCTGCTATTAATATGAAAAATTTGCCTAAAGAAGGTGGTGCTGGTAGTTCACCATTATATTGTTGCCCAAAAGAAATTTGTTCCATACAAGATGAAGCTGAGTACGCTATACCTGATGTTATATGCCCGAGTAATCTGTCAAGAACATTAGCCCTACATACGAACGACAATCATAGTGGCCATCACGTTGTTGCGACAGCCAATTCAATCGTATGTAAAACGATCAACCCAAGATTTTATGCTTCGTCAGATATCATACATGCTAAGCAAAAGTAATTCTTTATTTTAGAATTTTTTCTTTCTACTTATTTTATTCGGTTAACATATGCTCTTTTCTGTCCATGGTCTTTTTTTTATTATTCTAGCATTTATGGTACACGAATTCAGCCACCAATTCTAGATGTTGGTACACATTTTCGTAATATCAAAAATGGTTCCATTCAAAATGTTTTACATCAACGACAAACACCATTGTTGGATACTTTTCGTAATCCTAACCAGCACGGTATTCATTGTACACCTCAACGTACACAACCATTCTATGTGAATGATTTCATCAGTGGAACTTTTGGTGTGCGAATATATTCAGAATCTGAAATCGGTGTAATACAAAGTTTGGGCAAATCCAAATTTGGAGATATCCTCTTGTGCAATATACCGGCAACGACATCATCAGCATCACCCGCAACTACTACTGCTGTTGCCAAAACCAGACTCGTTATCGTACGAACAGTGAATGATCTTGTTTTGAAAAATGAATTTATCGAATCAATGGATTATCAACGTAATATTTCACAACAACATATCGATGCATTTGCACGCCTATTAGGAATCATTGAAACGCCCACATATTTTGCATCAATAATCGAATATGGTGATTGTGATCTCAATTATTTTTTGCGCAAGACTACCACGGATATCCTTAGGTATGTCTTATTATTATTGCCTATATTTTAGAGTTTGAGTATTGCTGATCCTTTCAAATTCATTTATCCACACACACACTGTATACAATCAAATTTAACGCTGCATCATCAAAATTAAAAAAAAATTGGAAACTGCTTTTCCATTTGAAACACAACATGAAACGAATACCATAGGTTGTTTCTTTGTCTACTCAAACACAGAGAAAGAAAGTGCACATATCGGTAGGCAAATTGAGATGTTTGGAATTCAAAAATGCTTAAGGATGAATATTATCTGTATAGCATATTTTTAATATTCATTCTTGTTTGTACAATTATTTTGATTTCATTTCATTTTCAATTCAAGTGATTCGGCCTTAGTATTTGTTGTGTAAACACAAAAATACGCGTGCAAGAATACAGAAACAAAAAGAATCAAGTAGCAAGTGATATAAAGAAGAAAACATCCGTATTCTTCTCATTATCATTGATTCGATAGTTTTATTTTGTTGTTGTTGTTCACTCACTCATTCACTGTCATTGAGTGAATCAATTCAATCTTTGTGAATCTATTATCGACCAATCGAAAAATGTTTGCGAATCCAACATGGATATTACAAATTGGATTTATTCCAAACAACAACAACAACAACAACATTATTCTTATCATAAGAAAAATTGTAATTGGCTTAACGCAATCATCATTATTTTTTGACCAAACCAGAAAGGAAAAGAAAAACTCATCGCCAAGTTTGTCATGTAGCAAAAAAATTTTTTTTGCCTTGATTTTCGTTCGCGAATTTACCATCGGATGATGATAGACTTATATATAGAAAATATAATGTTTTTACTCAATCTCTCCAGGCCAATTCTTTTGGCCGTTTGGTTTGGTTTTTGTTTTTTTTCTTGTGAATGTACGTAATCATCACAGCAAGTATCCATCTCATTTTTTTTATTGCTTGAGCAAATGATGGCCATTATTTTGAGAAAGATAACATTTCTAAATTATTTAAAACATTATTAAATTATTTTATCAAAACTTGGCTCAATAGTTATTATCATAGTCATTTTCCTGTAAATTTTTTTTCGGATTCCATCTTCATTAGTATTTCGTGTTTGTAGCTTTTCAGATCAAGCTACGACCTAATGTGAAAAATTTTGGTTATTTTTTCTATTTAATCAACTTTTTTTCCAACCATTTCCTAAAAAGAGTATACTTTAATTCGATTTCAATGTCTAAAATATATCTTTTGACACTAAATTAGATTTTCGAACAAAACACCCCTCTATTGGCTGATTGATATATTTTTTTCATTATTCTTGTTGTTTTTTTTCAATAGTTTTGATGCATTGCTGTATATAGCCAGCCAGATAGCCAATGCCTGTGTTCATTTGGAATCGATGAAACAGACACATCAAGATCTAGCTACACGTAATATGATTGTATATGAGAAAAAATTGATGGTCAAAATAACCGATGGTGCTGTTCATATGGATAAATATACTCATGATTATTATAATGGTCTACCCATACGATGGATGAGTCCTCAGTCAATTCTACATCAACAATTTGATAGTTATTCTGAAGTGTATTCATTTGGTGTTTGTTTCTGGGAGATATTAATCATGGCTAAATTTCGACCATTTGCCGAACTAACCGATGAACAATTCCTGGCTATGGTTTATGCATACATGAATCAAGGAGAACCAATGGATCATCTACCGAGACCTTCACAATGTCATAATAAAGAGATTTATCAATTACTTCAAGAATGTCTGGATCCTGATTATACTCAAAGGCCAACATTTAAAGAGATTAGTCTCTTTTTACAACGTAAAACATTGACGTTCACGACCAGCAAATTGGCTCAATAATTTTTTATCATCTTCGAATATTTTTCAATGACTAGTCTCATCATTTCTCAGTTTGATCCGAAAATCTTTAAATTAAATTGCTTAACGAAATGTTAATTTTTTGTTCCAAATCCTGATTATAAATTTGAATCTCTGTACATCGAAAACAAGCACACAAAGTGTTTTGAACTTGTCTGATTTTTTTTTAAATTTTATGACTCAAAACGGGCATTATTTTTCTATATTAATACACTCGATTATCAATGAACTTATCTCTCCCCCCCATTTATCCCGATTGATGATGGATATTCATTTTGATTTTCTGTGATAATTACCAACACCAGTCCAAATATTCACTCTAATCACGTGTTCTAATCATTCCACACACGCACAAAACAATTGTTTTTAATTGAAACCAAATCTTATTATATACCGCGGTAAATAAAACTAACAAAATCTTGCTTTTGTTTATTTGAATACAATTTGCTCGAACGTTTTTCAAAATTGATATTTGTTTGCTGCTCAATAGATGGCGAGAACATCGTCATTTTAAAATTAAAAATTTCCCTCATTTTTGGTGAAAAATAATGGATGTGTTAAGATGAAGGATAAAAATGACGATGATGGAGGAAAAAATGTACATTTTTCCATTCATTACCGATGACAAAATGTACTTTTTTTTGACTGAACATTAATGATGTGTGCAGTTTTTTTTTCTGTTTCGCGTTTGGTTTTGCTTTTATTATTTTATTATTTATAGATGGAAAGATACAGTTTTTGTTATAACGAATTTAAACAACCAATTCTTGTGTTACGTACATACAAACATAAACAGAAGGAGAAATGTGCTTGGTTAGGACCCAGTTATGATTGAGTCAAAGTACTCGAGTACCGGCATTCACTATGATTTTTCATTCTAATTCTACAGATTTTTTTCTCTGTGTTCAACTAATCTTTTGTGTTACAATATTGATCATTATCGGAAACTAGTTTTATACCATATTTATATCCATAGATATTCGACAGAATCTTTATTTGCAATTATAGTAATAGATATCAAAACACGTGAATGACAGGTGATCAGTCTTTCGTCGATAAAATCGTTCGAATGAGTTTGTGTGTGACTGTTTGTATTTGCTCGTTTTCTATATTCTATAATTAGCATCACATACAAAGACGTTAGTGACTATGACTGAATTGACAAAAAAAAAAATACTTCATGTTATACACCAAAAACAAAAAGTACATTGTATCCAATGATATGTCATTAATCGATTTAGAGTACCGATCACTATCGAACAGGGAAACTCGACAATCATGGATCGATGGTTTTTTTATTTATTAATCCGATGATGGAGAAAATCTAAACAAAAACAGAAAAGGAACCGAATGTCCGAATGTATTGATTGGGTTCAATGTTTAGATTCATTCGTTTCAATCAATCCGATTTGGATTCCAATTACGCATCATCCATTTCCATTTTTATTATTATCGTCTGAATGGTTTACAGTAGTAGTGGTAGTGGTAATGGTAAACAGATATTCGAACTGCTACAACGTTCCTGTGTGTGTTGGTGTTTGTATTGATTGTGAAATGGTGCGGCCATATATATAAACTTTGTATTTGATATATTTTTTTCGCACTCAAATCTTGATTCGAATTAACTTGAATAAGCGTTCTGGAATCTTCATCTTAATATAATCATCGCAGAAACACTGCCTACATTTATCCATTGCTGCCAAAAAGGTAAACACAAATTTGCAAATCAATAAACAAATCAAATATCTTATTATTGGTAAGATTAATATAATATAAAAATCGTGTGATTTGTTAATTGATTGTTGTTGTTGACATCATCATTATCAAACTTGTTTACAGTTGAATTTCCACCAAATACGCATATAATCATCATTTTTGATCGTTTTCAAAATCGAGTCGAATAAACATCAATAAAACAAGAAAACAGATTGGTCATTCATGTGGATTGAATATAAAAATTTATGTCTACAGCCTGTACTTGTCTGAATATGTGAATATTAATAACCAGTCTTAATGCTTGCGATTTAATCGAATATTGGTATGTAAACATGTTTCGAATTTCGTTGTTCTGATGTTTCATTTTTTCATACATTGTAGACAATGTTTTCCATAAATTTTCCAACTTATTCTCGTCTGGACGCATTAAATTCGTTGGTTACAAAATCAGTTCATGTTCTTTGTTTACCGGTCGATTTTTTATATCAACGACCTGCTAGCGATTGGTCAAGCCTATACGATTTAAATATCTTGAATCGTTTCGAATCCAAAAACAAGAAAGCACCATATCGTCTTCTCCAACGTTTATATGATGATTATTTAATTCGAAATAACCAAAAATTCTCTTTGCTCGATGTAAATTCACGTCAAGCAATCATTGATTATATAATTCGGGAACGTATATCGGTGCAGGCTGAATTTGTCATCAGCATAATCGAAGATGGTGGAGTATATAATCTCAATCTTTGGCAGTTGACCGAAATAAATGAATTTACTCACGAAGAAATCGACCGTATGCTCAAAGCGATGTACACATTTTCAAAATGTTTCCGTCAGTTATCATTAGGTGGTGCCAGTTGGATCTATCATAATCCAATCGTAAATGGTGCATTGAAAATGTTTCTTTGTAATAACCGGAATTTATTCAACGTAAAAGCTTTGCGAATTCAACATTTGACATCTGAAATTGATATTACCTCATTATTCAATTCATGTGCTAATCTGGAACATTTAGAAATCGCTGAACCTTCATTGAAAAATCGTGACATGTTCAAAATGACAAAGCATTTATCATCGAATCCAGATCTTTCCATTTGTCGATCATTACAACATATAACCTTACCGTCATCATTGCAAGAAGAAGGAATCATGCATTTTTTGGCCCATTTTCCTAACATAACTCATCTACGGTGTACCCCATTTGAGCAATTATTGGATTTGTTGGAACATTCGATTACTAATGGTTCTTCGAATAAATTAATTGCTGAAAAAGCATTGAAAGTTTTGTCGAATCTTCGAGCATTATCGATAGCTCATCCAATGAGTCGCAACATGGTAAATCGTTTGCTTTCAAATTGTCCACAAATCGAAGAATTATCACTGGAATTACAAAAATACATGTCTCTATCCACATTGGCAACTTCAGCACAACGGCTTGTCAAACTTGAACTTCATAATTCAGCCAATCAATCGATTAGTTTTGCGGATCACGTCGTGCCGATATTGGAAGGATGTGGACAACAAATGCAAGTGTTGAGCCTGATCAATTTTGATCACATTGATTTGACTAAATGTGCCCAATACTGTCCAAATTTACGTTCATTGTCAGCACAATGCTTCACAACAATCACCTATCAACGACGATTATTACGTTGGATGAACGTGAGAAATCCTTTTGGAAATCTCAAACATTTACGATTACGTCCTCGACCTGATTATTCCCTACCTGTTGATATTTGTGTTTCTTTGCTAAAGAATTGTCTAAATCTTAGCCACATTGAACTATATTGTTGTCTAGAGCTAACCGATGACAATATTGATCAAATTAATCAAACAAATCGTTTTGAACGGCTTCAGACTTTCATCCTACGTCATGGTCACAGTGTTACTGATCATGCTTTATGTCGTTTAGTTTCCTGTGCTACATCGCTTAACAATCTGGTCTTTCATGATTGTGGACTAGTTCCACCCGATATCAAAGAAATTTTGTGATCAAATTCATTTTTGATATATAAACTCATATACATAAAAACAATTGTTTTGAACATTTTTGTACATTAAAAAAAATTGATATTTTACTTGATATGAAATTTTTTTTAAAAGCTTATCAAAAAATAGATCAATTTAGAGATAAAAATGGAAGGTAAGATGGTGCAAACAAAGTATTCTCTGATTATTTTAAACAATTGTTTCGATTTCAGTCGGAAAAAATTAATTAATAACATGATGATGGCACTCGAGTTAGTGATTGCCATCATTGATGATCAATTGATTGCCTTATATCACGATAAGACAATGTCATTATTTCCAAGTGTTGAACAACAACAGATTACATATGTTAAAAACAATCTTTGAATGCCAATTTATACCTGTGTTTGTATATGTGTGTGGGTGGGGTGCAAACAAACAATCATTTTTTTTTTAAAAAACAGCATTTGATTCAATCAAATTTCAATTATTTTCCATTCAAATACCAGAAAGACAATAAATCACATTTGACATGTTTGTCCATTTGGTATATAGATTTTGCCTTCAATTAATTAGCACGTGACGACTCATTATGTGACGACTTGATGAAACAGGTAAAATCTGCCTCGTTATCAGATTTCGATGTAGATTGGGCAGATGTCATCGTTTGTTTGTTTTGCCATTGTCATTGTATCATATATCTCTAAGAGACCTGATTTTTTTGAATTTAAAATCCATTGGCTTGGAATGTTTCACTAGAGATTATAATCATCATTCGGATTACATTATTGATTTATACGTCATATTTACAATAATAATTATTAGAATAATAACAACAGTAAAAAGACACCGCTTAATCTTTGATTATGATAATGATAGTGGCCATAAAAAAAAGAAAATGGAAATGTTTCCAAGTTATTTCCGCTTATGATAATTTAAAATAATTTTATATAATTGAAAACAACAAACAATTTAAATACATTCAATATTTCATCAAAGGCTGATGTTTCCAGACAATGTTTAAAGTATTCGATGACCAATGCCAAGATGATCTAGGAAAAAAATGATTTGTAATGTTTGTGAAAAGTTTGCCGTTACTAACAATTAAGACACAGATAGAATTAGGCGTTTGATGATGGTAAAAATTGCATTTCATCCATTATTTGTTCTAAATTTTGTTGCCAATTTGATCGTAGTTGTTGTTAATGTTTTGGCACTATGAACACAATCAAAGAACAAATCTGTCGTCACCTGGCCAGTAAAATGACTTACCATTTTTATCGTTTAATAAGTTTTTAACTTTTAGTTAATAAGCAATCATTCGGACACCCAAACATCTAATAAGCTATATCATAATTGTTGTTGTTGTTCTTTTTTTTCCATGTTTGATCTCACATTGTCAAATGATTAGATTTTAAATCGATTTTTTTGAGAAGCAACTTGTTGACGCTAATCATTCATTGATAACTCAATTGAAATTTGATTGTCATTGAGAAAAAAAAATTCCATATAAAAAATCGGATTTAAAAACGAAATAAACAAAGATTCTAACCTAAACCTGTCATTGATTGAGTTGAGTGAATCATTGTTTGTAGGTAAGTAATCGTTTTTTTCTCTTATAAATACTAAACAAGACATACATTCCTTGCAATGATGATTGGGTCTTTAATGTGGATGATGATGATTGCCCGATTATCCATCATCGGTTGTTGTTGACAATTGACTATCGGTTGTCAGATTCCATATTTAAAAGAGATGGTCGTGTAAATGAACTTTATTTAATTTGCTTTAAATCATCAGTCTTGTCGTTGTCATCATCAAATCATTTTGATCAACAAAAAACAAATTGACGGCCAATTTGTTAATAAAATACAGTGTTCATCAATTTGCTCACAATGTCTAGTGTATTGATCATTATCATCATTCCTGATCAACAATGTGAAATTGAAGTGGCCGAAAAAGAAAAATTAGCACGAAAGTATTCAAGAAAAAAGCTTAAAAAAGGTTAGAATATTTTGAACATGAATCATCTACTGAACCAACTTATTATCGTTTTGAACAGGTCTTTCAATAACCATCGAAAATGATGAAGAAGATGAAAATGATACCAATTCACTTGAAAACGTAAGATTAACACATTAATTGTTTTGTTATTTTCATTTAACATTGAAGAATAATTTTAGGTTGTAAAAGTTGGTCTCTCTTATCTGGAGATTCCCGATGCTACATGGCAAAAATCATTCAATGGAAAATATTGGCACATATCATTTCCAGTGGATCTTGAAGATAGTGACATTGTTATTCAGTATTTTAAATCACGTGGCATCGGATTACATTTAAATTCATCAATCGGGTATGGTCATTAGGTTCATATAATGGATAAATGTTTTTGATCATGCTTAACATTATTGAATTAGTATTATTCCGTTTACATTATTCTGTTTCAATGAAGAATCGGCTAAATTGGAAGAGGAACCTGAAATTGAATTGGATGACAAAACTCGTGAATTAAATAATTTCAAAGAGAATAAAAATAAATTCCTTAAATCGGTTACCGCTCGATTGACAGTGGCTCAGATTGTCAGCAGTGTTCGTGATAGTGCCACATTGACATTTGACTTTCTTTGCTATCTGATATTTGCTTCGTGGATCGCTGCCATGGGTTTACTTGACAATAGTGTTGTCAGTCTGGTTGCCAGTATGTTGGTCTCACCGATGATGGTTTGTTTTAACGACTATGGTTAATTTGTATATGCATTGATTTATCATATTTTATATTCTAGGGCCCAGTGATGGCCATGACATTTGGAACGATCATCAAGGATAGATCGCTTCGTAATATGGGCATCAAAAATATTTTTGTTTGTTTAATGGGCACAATTTCATTTGGATTTCTATTCGGAATGATTGCATTGAATTTCACTCAATCATGGACTGATTCATTAGGATCGAACAACACATATACTTGGCCTACGGATATGATGCGTGAACGTGGTCTAGTACGGATCACCTGGGTTGGTACGCTTGTTGCTTTCCTTCCGGTTGTGCTGTAGCAATTTCACTTTTATCCGGTAATGATGCATCATTGGTTGGTGTTGCTATTTCGGTATCACTTTTACCACCAGCAGTTAATGCGGTAATTATAAAGCCTTTAACAATGGAAATTTTTTATTTATTTCTTACATTATTATAATTATCCAATGTTTACATACAGGGATTATTATGGGCGTTTTCATTACTAAAATTGCTATATTCTTTTGGTGAATCTGGAAAAGTGATGACTCAATTTCAATCTCATTTCAATCATAGTAATTTGATAGAATTACCACAAGCATTGGTTCCATTGGAAAATTACACCACTGTTTACAGTGATAATATGGCATTGGAAGCGCTTTATCTTGGAATGCTTAGTTTATGTCTTAGTTTGATCAACATTGCCAACATTATTATTGGAGCATTATTATTATTGAAGGTACAATCACAATGTTTGTTTTTCCATCAACGTAATCATTTTTCCATTCGGTCATTATACAGATCAAAGAGATAGTTCCATTATCGAATCTATCGCCAGTGAGTCGACGATTCTTTCAAGAAGACATCAAGGTAATAATGATGATGATTGAAATCAAACCAAATCTAATCATTTCTATAATTTTGTTGTCCAAATAGATTGCTCGCGAATATAATCAAAGATCTGAAACAAAAAATCTTAGTGAAGATGTTTTAAGAGAATACGCTGTATGTTTAATTTATATTAAATCAATGAAAGATTTATAAATACATTTAATTAATTTATTGTTACATAGACAATCCATGGTTACGATTCGGAACAATTTATGAAACCAGAACAACGTGCTGCTCAATTACAAGCATTGAATGATATTGCCGAAGATGTTGAAGCTGATCAAGTTTTTCAAACTGTTACACGTAGCGTTCATAATACTGTATGAATTTATTTGTTTATCCATCTTGATTGATGCTATATTCTCATATTTAATTTAGGATAACAATCTAGCTCGACGATTGAGCCAAAGTTTATTTGTAAATCAAAACAATGGTCGTTGGGGTCGTCGTCAAACATCGGCAGCAATTTTCAATCACCAACCACCGACTATAATTGTTTCGGATGCTCTAAATCCCCGAAGACCAAGTTATGTACATCTTGCTAGCCACAATAGATTGCGTATTTCAACGGCATTAAAAAATAATTTGGTGAGTAATTATAATGTCAATATGATCAATGAATCGATGTACTAATGATGAATTTCATTTACAGAATGAAATGAATGATAATCTAAGTTCAACAAAAACTTGCCCTGGTTATATAAACAAAGCATTCTCGTTCAATGAAAACGATATTAATAACTACAATGAACGAAAAGGTAGCGATAGTTCCGTTGTAAAACTTGATCTAGAGACGATCACAAGATTCAATGACAAATCCACACCACCACCTTCACCGAAAATGAATGGAACTGGTGGTTGAATGAAAATTTATTTGCATCAATTTTCTGTTTTTTTTTCAAATCATCATTCTCACTTATAATAATCATTTTTTAAATATATATGATTGATGAGATTAAAATTAAAAAATTATTAGTTCTCATATTCATTGATTTAACAATTACTAGGTGACGCTACTTTCGCCAAATTAGATTATTTATATTCAACTTTTATTATTCAGTTTAGTCATTATTGGGATTGTTGAAAGGAAATAATGGGCAATAATTAATGGATCTAAAATGGACATGATGAAAACTGGAATAAGAATTATTGTTTATACGGTCATTAAATTGGACAATCAATTGGTCAGTTATTGGGTCAAATGAGACACAACGACAATGTCAACATGAATTTGTGATTTCATTTGTTTGTTCATTCACCTCCCTCGCCAACCGACAGATTGTTGTGTTTATTGATTTGCATTGTTCGTACAAAAAAAAAATCTGTAAGTCATGTTAATAACAATGTGTATTATTCAAAATGATCGAAATACATACGTTGTAGGTTTTGATGGTTCTGATTGATTAGCGAAAATGCAATCGGCAATATGCACAATTGAATCTTATCTTATCCAATCTAATCAACGAAATGATATGAGAATAGAATACCCGAATTGGATGTATCGATTTTTTTTGAATACAATTCATTTAATCATTTGTTTTGCAATTGTATATTCACATTTATGCAATGTTAAGCATTTTTTGGTCTTTATATATGGCCTTGTTCCATAAGTAACAATCTCTCTCTCTCCTTGTCCCCTGATTGTTACTACAAGTTGTTTGAGCTCATTCATTCATTAGAATTGAGAAGCTTAGGGCTTAGGACATCATATTTTATTGATTACTTTGGGTCTATATGGAAATATATTGGATTGCCTAACTTATTTGAACTTAGTTTTTGTAACCATTTCGTTTGCTTTTTTCAGCCAACCGAAATGGGTAATAAATCCATTAGCTAAATCCGACGAATATCAAGCAAAATGAAAAGCGAAACGAAACAAACTGGTAATATAAATGAAAAAGCACGTGCACTTATGCCTGTACCATTTTTTTTTTTGCAGATGTACTCTGATATTCACTGGTAATAATCACTTCATAATTCATGCCCATTTCGAAATAAAATGAAAACGAGAAACCTAACGGTTCCATGATTCTCTGATGATTTATGCCGTTCAACTGAGATTTTTGTCGAAAAGATTTCACCATATATACCGTATGGTTTTTTTCTGGTTATTTTTTCTGATATGACATTTTGTTACATAATGACATAATGATGGCCATGCTCTTATTATGTTGTGATGATTATGATCTTTGGTTAGAATATCATTCAATTTCAAATTCATACAAATTATTGACTAAAAAGAACAAGCAGAATTCATTTCTCTGTCATCGTTGTCAAAGTAGCACGTCGTTAAACTTAATGTTAACTTCAGGTTTCATCAGGTCACGAACTTTTTATCCTGAATGCATATATATGGTATGCATAGAATGGAATCGTCCTAATTCCACTTGCATGGAATTCAATCTACCTTTATGTCCATTGGTTATGTATGGTTGATAGGATGCTCAATTGAAACCATCAACATCCTAGTGTTTTCGGTAATTAAGATGGCAAATTTCGACTCCTTTTTCAGTCAAATGTCTGTCTATATGAGTTTTTGCATTTTCCAATTAAACATTCTTCGTCCTCATTGAATATCCACTGTCGAGAATAAATTTTCAATTCGTTACTGCAGCTTGTGTAAACCATACAACCAGCTATAGCATCATTTGTTGGATATTCATTTCCAAGTGATGGTTCGAATTAATTGAAAACACTAATCAAGAGCAATAAAAACGACCGACGATGGCGATGATGATGACGTTGAAACTGAGTTGAAATGTGAAACTCGAATGCAACTTGAAGGCCAACATTTCGACTAATCACACTTGATAGTAATGCATGCATTCATTTATTCTGTCATTCATCTCTATCTGATCCGAGTGCCGTTTTTTTTTGTTTTATTTTGTTTGGGTCGATTAATCTCTGGCCTATACATTATCATTGTCATTGTATAACTATAGCATTTTTTTCTAATATTCAAAAATGAGTTTCACTAATTGAATTGTTAAAGAGCAAGTGCCATTCAAGCTTGCTTCTTTTTTGATTGTGTTGTGCATTTTTTTTTTTTTTTTTTTTGATTAAACTATTTTCCAATTTTGATCCATCATAGATCCTAACATTTTTGTCTGCAAATTCAACAATTCAAGTCGAACGACTAGATAGCCATGGTTTGATATTCAATTTGTGCAGATTGTATTGTTTTATGATTGCAATGATATAATGAGCAGATTCAATGATGATGATGATGATGATATTGTCTGTTTCGAGAAAAAAACGATTCGCACAAATGATGTAGACTAATTGAAAATCGAGATTGTTAAGTAATTCTCTAAAGTAATGACATAAAAAGCAAAAACTTTTAAATCTCAATTGGAAAAATGTTATATTATGTTTTCGTTTCTTTAATCTTTCCTTAAATTTGGAATCGGTTTTTATTTTTTTGAAAAAAAATAAAATTTCATTCGTTACATTCTATCAGTAAAAATTCAGTCATAAATTCGTCTTTTTTTTCATATATACTTTATATGTTTTTTACTAATCTGATGATTCTATGACATTCTCCTGGGAAATTGCATCTGTCCAACTATCTGATAGGTTGTTGTTATTTTGTTCTGTTTGTTGAATGATTTAGAATTTAACTTTGAAATTCTGTTGCAAATTTCCATTTTCAATAATGCTGTTGTTGTTGTTGTTGTTGCTAAAATCTGTTTTAAAATTGAATTTCATTTCAACCATTAAGAGCGAACCTAAAATAATAATTTTTATATAATTCTTTCGAGATTATATAATCTTTAATTTTCAATGGCCATTCGATATGGCATCATCAGTTTTGATTGTCAGTTAACAGTAGCTCATCAATAAATGAATGGCTTGATCTTTATACAATCAATATGATGGTGATAATGAGATGTTTGTATACATAATATTTGACCCGCATATATTATTGAATCAATAATGATTGATTGAAATGCCCATTGTTTTTTATTATTATTAATTCGGACAGGTAAATTATCAATCTATGCAAATCATGTATTTTCCTCGATATATCGAGCTTTCTACTCTATGTAGATCCATCTCGCTTTATTATTACATTCTGCATTCTGATTGACTGTTTTTTCTGTTTGATATTCTTGGAATTCTTTGTCGATTTTCACTAGACTTAGCAGTATAATTCAAAAGTTTTTCCTTCAATATAATTGCCAAACGAGGCGTGCCTATAGTTGAATTCGGCATTCCCTATGATCATAAAGCCGTATGTGTTTGTGAGAAAAAGATGAAAAAAAACTTTTCAATTTCGTCAACACGTGCTCATTCAGTTATAATCCCCGAAAAAAAAATTCACATTTTTTTGCCCGTTTGATTCGGTTGTTCATTTGAACATGAAATTCTCTTGTCGTTTATTATTTGAGAATTGCTTTTTTCGATCGAAAAAAATAACTGAATGCCAGAAAAAAAATGATTAGAATATCCTAAATGCTCGATTGAGCTCAATCATTCACAGAATGCCTATGCCTAGCCTGTGTTTGTGCATGTAATGTTTGAACCATTATAAATGGCAAGATGGCCATTATCTTTTTCTTTCTTTTTTTCTGACTTTTTTCTCAAATGTTCAAGTTGAATAGAAGAAGAAAAAGAAAAAAATTCGACATTCGATACAATTATTACATGATATTTATATAATGCAAAAGATGCTACGCTTAACAAATGATCACATAGATATAAATATGATGGTGGCTGTCCGAAAATCATTACGATCTATTAAGGTCCGTCTATTGTGGTGAATGAGCGATCTAATATCCTTAGAATTATTATATTGTTGTATGCATTGTAATAGTTGGCAACCAGTTGATCGAATATCTTGTATGTTTAGATTTTTTTTTTATTATCACTATTATTGAATAGATTTCAATATTGTGTAAAAAGGTAATTCGTTTTTATTTCTTTTGGCCAATATGTATGTAAACGCGTAAAATATATAATGGAAAATTACTAGTACTTGGCGGGCCAATCGATATAATTATCATCTGTCCGGTCCATCTTTTACATACACACATCGTTTTCAACAATCATTTGATGGCTGTTGATCTTTGTGGCAAAATTTTTTATTTTTTTCCATTTGGTGCTTCGAATCATTCACGGCCTGTCAATCGAGCTGTCAATTGGTTGTTGTTGTTGTTGTTATTCGTTTGTTCATTCATTCACGCTCACGAATATAAGTGTAATAACTCTGACACCATCCATAAGCAATTTCATTGATATGGAACCTATTGAAATCTTCTTCATCAAGTTTTTCATTTTGTTGTTGAATAACTTTCAGTCAAACACATGTCTGACAACAACAAATCGATTAACATTTGACAGAATGTTCAAATCTCAATTTCGGAATTTTTTTTTTTTTTGGCAATAATCAACAGCCATTTATGTGACAAAAAGGTACAAATTTATGGCCATTGTCCTTGTAATTGGTGATTGAACAAAAACCTACTTGATTGTTCTATGTAATCAGGCATGACTCAGTAGTTGGTTATTGGTGGTACAATTTGTCCAAATATTTGCTATTCTATCTAAATCTTCTTTCTCATTCGATGATCAACATAGATAGAAATTGCTTGCCATCGAAGCACTTTGTACGCCATGAATTGTATCAACACTTACAATCGGACTAATACAAAAAGCTATTGGAGCAATAAAGTAATTTGTTCCATCCATCCATGTATTATTTATACCAAGTCAAGGACAAATGGCTGGCCCTAGATTTTTTGTTGTTGTCTCATGTCCTGGTTTGTGTTTTTTTTTCATTTTATAAAGCAATTTGATTACTTTACGACTCGAAGTTTATAATGGCCCGGCTTATTCCAAAAAAACACACACACACACACAGAAACATTTGTACGTTTACGTCATCATTTATTGTTTAGGATCGTCAAAAT